GAGGGATGCGCGCGGCCGCCCTGCGCTCCTGCAAGTGCCCGACGGCGACTGCTGATGGACGCACCGCCGAAAAATGACGACAGGCCAGCACTGGGGAGCAGAAACACTTTGCCTTGCCCCTCCAGTAACTAGTAGCCTTGTAAATACTGATGCGACCGAAGCTGACCCGCCTCCTTCCCGGTGCCCAGGTGGTCAAACTGTGCCAGCAGGCAATTCAAAACAAATGAAAAACCAAACAAGCATTATCATCACTTGTCATATTTATATTTTTGATTTTATTTTTAGTTTTTATTAAAAAAAGAACCATTATTAAAAATGAATCATTTACTGGAAGGCTTCGGCCAGGGAGAACTCTCATTTCAATCTCGTGAACAAAACGCAGCACAGTTAAAACCCATAGGCATAAACAAAACCCAATTAAAAAAAAAAAAAAAGAGAACCATAGCTTATTATTATGCAGTTTTCTCAATGTCAATAGAGAGGCTTTTGTTAAAAGCCTTCAATTCAGAATTTCATGGAAGACTTTTAAAACACAGAGGAAGAAGGAAACACATGCTTATTTAAAAAAAAAAAAACAAAAAACAAAACAAAAGGAAAAAAATTGCTTGGGTAATGGTTAATGAATTCAGCAAATTTACTTCCTCCAAAGCAACTGCTGTTCGCCCAGCCACACAGTTGGCCCTGGGTGATGTATTTGCTCAGAAAGCTGAACATACACAATTCCTGCCAAGTCATTCTGGGCAAAATTTCCCAATTCTGGCACTGGGTTGGAAAGGGTTTTCAGTGAGATCATACCTGGCTTCCCGCTTCGGGGGCCTGGAGTTTGCAGTGCCAGCAGGTATGACTGGGAGCCTGGAAAAGAGGCTTTAATTCAGCCCCTTTCGGTCTCCCCCAGTGAGACAGCACCAAGGCGAGCTCTGAGCATCTCCCTGAGCTCCTGAACCAGGGCAGAATTAAGGACCTGCCCATGTAGTACATATCAAGCCCCAAACTGGGTCTGTTAAAAATTGCAAATTAGTGACTAGTTTGCAAAAAAAAACCCCAAAAAACAAAACCAAAAACAAACAAACAAACAAACCCAAAACAAAACAAAACAAAAAAACCCCAAAAAACCCAAAAAACCAGCAACACAAAAGAAACAAAAGACAACCAAAACCAAAACCCAAAACCTATCAGTGTGGGAACTTTAAGGTCAAAACCAAATAAAAATGGTCTTAAAATATATACATTTATATGGCTTTCATTTTTCCTATCCATTTCATTGGAAACAAAAATAAATTTAAGGGTGATATTTGGTTTTTAAAAACAATTCTCTCCTTCTCTTTAGCTGTCAGCCGGAGCGGATGGGGTGGAGACGCTGACTGCAGCTGCTCACGCCGCAGCTCAGAATCTACCCGAGTTCTCCTTCATCCTCGCCAGTAGCCGGGAGTAGACGGGTGCTGCAAGGAGAAGACCGAGTTGGGTGGGACAAACACGCAGCATCTCCCTGTTCCCTCCCCTCCCAGTTATGCTACATCTTGCTTGCAGCAAGACAACAGGATAAACCTCTCTAAGGGACAGGGACATACGATGGAAATTAGAAACAAGCTAGAGAAGTCGTTTTACCTAGTCGAGGATTTCTCTGAGAAACCTGCATGGAAAGAACATACAAGGTTTGCATAAATACAACAAATCTCCGACAGTTATAAGAACAGTTTGCATGCCAATATATTTATCCTATTCCCCCAAAACTATGGATGAACGACTGTTCAGTACCGTGTACATTACTGGAGGTTGACACAAGATAGCACTGTGCCACGGTTACATTCACAGTGTGCTGCAAACTGTAGGCTTCATGTTGCAAAATGTATTATTTCTTATATAATTAAATCATGTAAGAAGAGAGGACTGGTCATTCCATGAAACATACTCCCTTTGGAAGTCAAAATCTGAATGTGACATCATCTTCCAATCGTTACTACCAAAATGTAATTTCAGTAGCTCTAAAGTGAGGGATTTTTTTGTCTTTTACCTTGGATAACGCAGATGCCTGTTTGAAGATTTCTAATGCGGGATCTGCAGGCTCATCACCTCTTTCTTGCGGCCTTGAAGCTAAAGGTGGGACATAGATAGCACTGAAATACTCTTCAAAGCACACGGGCTGCTTCCTTTCAATATTTTGGAGGTTGTGGAGATTTTTTAAAATCCCGTAACAGACTAATCCTCCTCTATAAACTGAAGCAATTGCCATGTGTCACCTCTCCCTCCCAAAGCGGCTCTGCTGTAACGGTGTGGCTCTCGATATTTCTAACCGTGGACCTACCCTGAGGCTGTAAGACAGAGTTCACGGCATAAATCACACCATTCGTGGCCATGATATCGCTTTCAGCAACAGGCTCCTTGTTGATATGTATTACGTTGTTTTTCTGTTCAGGAAAAGAAAAAAAAAAAAGTAGAGAATGAGAAACTTTTGTCATCCATGGTTTCCAATTTTATTAAAAAAGCCCTCACGTTGCATTCATTCATTTACTGGATGTCTGTAGGCGTTTTCGTTCCTCTTGCCAATTAAGCAGAATATAAAACCAAATTATAGTCTGAGCAGTTTGTCCTGGAGTGGCTGGCAGGCTTCGCAGCACGGACTTTCGCGGTGCGCTGGCTGGGAACGCTGTCCTGTGGCAGCGGAGCACAGCCACCAGCTCCATGGTGGCAGCGGGCACTGCTGCTCGTGCCAAGATGGCTGATGGCATCAGGAGTGGACATGGGAAGAGTCTAGCATGCAAGTTGGCCAACCCAATGCCCTTGGAAACCCTGGCCTTTCCATTTTGTCCTGCATTTTCTTCCTTATGCAGAGTGGGTCATGGTTATTTATTTTCTGAAATATATTTTTTTTTCCTCAATAGAGGATCCTACATTCTCTTAACATAGTGCAGAATTGGTGAAATTAAATTATACATCTAAATAAAGCCTGCTGCGTTAAGGGAGCCCATGCAGAGATCATTTTCGTTACACTAAAGAAGATGTGTTAGCTGAACAAGCTATTCGTTTAATTTATTTATGCTTTTCCCCCATGACTCAGGGTTAAATTTATAACAGCTCCTGGAAGTCATTTATAATTGGTCTTCTGGGGAGAAAGCTGAAGAAAACCACATTTCAAGACCGCCAGCTTGTTGAGTTGAACACGTCATCAGTCCTTCCGCTACAGCCCAAGAAACACTGTTTGGTGGGACTGGGCGCACATTTAGAAGAGGTTCCCATACAATCCAGATGAGCACAGACATACTTTTGTCCTCGACACGGACAGCTAAACACAGACCACAGTCCTGCTGACTGCAAAACCCCATCCGAGGTGACTCACCATGCTGACTTCCAATTTATCTCCCTGCGTGGACTTCAGCCTCACAAGGGCACCGACTGCGCCGCTCACCAGGATCTCATCAGCCACGTGGAACTTGAGGATGTTGGCAAGCTCCTTGGCATTACCTGGGGGAAGAAAGCGCTTGCATTTACAACACAGCATCGGCGCTTGCTTCCCGTATTTCACGTGCTGGAATGAGATTACATGGAAAATACCACGATTTCCTAGAAGTGCAAGGGAAACATGTAACATTGAAAAGATGGGGCAGAAGGACCTTGGTCGGAGCTTGTTAGGACGTTGAGGCCATTCCTGCCTGGACAGGCCAGGATCCCCGCGAGTCCAGGACACTCTTCCAATGTCCCACCTTGGTACGTACCAAACCTGCCCTACACACAAAATCCCCATCTCTTATTTTTAAGTCCTTCATTTTCTCACTCTGCACAGCATGAACCTGCTTTTGTTGCTGCTTTCACTCCCCAAGGAAGTCTACGGGGAGAAAAAAGGCCTGTGCGAGATAAGGAAACAGATAGAGCACTCGGGTCTTTGCAAACATCACTATTTTCACCAATGCCAGCGTCATTTGGCAATAATCTTCACAGCTGGAACTGCAGAATCCCTGGGTAGGAAGGGGAAAAGCACGGGAGAAATGTCACTAATGGCTTGCAGATTGCTGGCCTGATCCCCACCCCACTGCGTCTCTACTCATCTAGCTGCACTTTGAAGCAGATCTTAGGAAGATAATATGCTTCCCCTTCGCCATCTATTTTCCAGAAGAGATGTGCACAGCACAGGCCAGCAGCCCTCCTCCATCTTCTCCTTTAGAGGATGCAGTGTCGCTGGCAAAACCCACAGACAGGAGCTGGGCAACAGCTGGTGCAAAAGATGGCCACCAGAGATGGTACCTATGAAACCAGAGCAGCTCCTTCAGCCAGGGGGACTTCTTGTTTCACTGCCCATATCGGAACACCCTGCGAGCCTGTTTCCATTACAGTTTTCCTAGGGTGGCCACAGTTCACACTGCACATCCTCACCAGCATATTTCACTTCTTCTTCAGGAGCGTAAGCTAAATATTTGTGTGAAAAAAGAAGAACATCTGAAGTGTCCGCATCTGGGATACTTCACTCCTGCAGCCGTTTACAATAGCTGCAAAACACTTCTGAAATATTTATACATTAAGCACTAGACTGGATGTGCAGTCTGATATTACCAGTTCCTCATCCCTGCACTTAAAAGGATAACCAGCTACCATGGGCAGATGCTTCCCAAATTATGATGTCAATGTTTGGTTGGGCTTTAATGACAAGAAGACATTACACTCAAATACCTGACATTGTTTCCAACCACAGCCGGTTTTCAACATGAGCAAAATAAAAGATCGTGCTGCTTATCCAGAAGAGCGTTACTAAACATTCCCGTGCTTTTTTCCACACCCAGCCTGCACGGCCGTGCTTTTCAGGTTATTGGTCTTCATTTGTGCTAGACTGGAATATTTGTGACCTTCTCAGGATCAGACTGGACTTTCTGCTTTGTCCATGTACACACAGATGGAACAACAGCTCCATCCTTTCATTACTTAAATTTCATAGAATGTAACTTGAGGCTGAATGAGGACCAGGTTTTCTATTTGCAGAACTTACTTTAGACACCCTGATCTTATGTGGTTGACAGCCCATTCTCACTTCTATTGTCCTGGAGAAAGGCAGAGTCCTCATCGGTTCCTCTGACTCAACGCCTTTGAATTACATTGCTTACACCAACCAGCACAGCCAAACTAAGGTCACAGTAAGTCTGTAGCGCACACTTACAAACACGTCTGCCAAGCATAAGGAAAGTATAAACCCATGCCTACGCTTTGTGTGAGAGTTCAGTGCCGCTCTGTGCATCCTCAGCCTTCTGCTGGATAGGGCTTATCCAAATCAGTTGTGTAGGAAGCCCACACTTCCAACAGGCAGGGTCAAAGAATGAGATATGGCGGAGACATTTAGCCAGTTCTCCCACATCATGCCAATAAGACACAGCAGCTGATCATCTAAATACTCACCCATTAGTTTGTTCAGTTCCCCTTGGGGCATGGCTCGGAAAGCCTCGTTTGTTGGAGCAAACACAGTGAAGGTACCTGGCCTGTTCAGGTTCTCCGTTAGACCTGCAGACTGGATTGCAGCCACCAACGTACTGCAAGACAAACATACACGAAACACTTCACCACAAATTACTTTTGCTAGTCTTTGAGCAATTGCATGTTGTGTTCAAGAGCGAGCTGTGAAGTTACAACTGCAAAATCCTGCTGGGGTCCAGCAAATCAATTAACCAAAATGTTAGTTAGGTAGGAAATGAGCCTGTGAGGTCCAACCAGAACATCTGAGAAAAAACAAAGTAACCTGGGAATGCTGAATCCTTGGGGACCAAATGGTAGTGAGGAGCCAGAGAGGCCTGACCACATCGGCTCTGATGGGCAGCGATGGCTTTGGAGCCAGCTTCTTACTGTATTAAGGAGGACCACACACTCTTGGCTCACAGTTCATTGAAGGGTTATTTGAAGTCTCGCTCCCTATAATTTAGGGATGAGACCATGGTTTTGGATGGTCTTTCTATGTTAAAAAAAATATATATATAGTCATGACTACGACCCATAATAAACAGAAACTGCTTTGGCAGCTGTTCTGCTCCTAACTAGCACTTAGGAAGAGCAGAGAGGTCACCTAAAGCGATGGTCTGCCTTGAGAACATCCATCACTGAGCCAGACGGTGGAGTCAACATTTTGTCCATGCTAAACAGGGTCCCAAACCTTCCTCTCTTGTCATGGGCAGCAATGCAGGCGTTTTCGATGCAAAGGTTCTGCAAAAAAAATTGCAGAAAAAAGACGTTATTAACATATGCTTTGAAAGAGAAATGTTTATACTTTCCGGTGTTCAATAACCCCTTTTACATGGTAGCCATAGCATTACAGACATCAAGCATCATTCAGTCAGCCATCTACAGCACCGCACACTGCAGGAACTTACATTGCGGTACACAAAAACTCTCAGTTCCTTGTCACCCAGAGTCTGTAGTTTCTGCCCATGGTAAAGATATTTAGAGGAGAGCTGGTCTCTAACAATGTGGTTCAGAAGCAAGTTTTTCATGTTGCTGTCAACAATGGGGAGTCCATCTGCAGCAAAACGTATGGAAAGAACTAGTGATTCACTTAAAACGACCAATGAGACACAAAGTCCAACTACAGAGTATTACCCACAGCGGTTTTTAATTTTAAAGCTAGATGCCACTGCCTATAGCTGAGGCATTTGAGAGAGGATTTGCACACTTGTGCACTGAAACTTGGCTGAAGACTGTTCGAAGATCTGTGGCCCAAACCGATGGAAGAAAGGGATTTACTCCCCAGTTTACCTTTGAACACCTCATTCACTGGGGCAAGGAGGGTCACTTGCTCACTGCCAGTTAGATGAGAACTGAGACCAGCCTGTCTGAAAAGGTCCGTAGACTTGGAAACTTCAGATTCTTGTGCCAACTCAAACAGCGTCTTGGCTGAAAAGAAAAGAAACACATAGTAACCTTGTGTTACAGGCAATCTACCCGTCACTATGGAGTACCTACACCCTCTAAATCCAGTATTTCCTTTCCAAAATAGATAAAGAAAGACAAAAGAAAGAAAGATGCAGAGGGGCACCAGTACCTGAGTCTGGGATCAGCAGCTCATTAACAAAATGTACGACGCCGTTGGTAGCCAGGACATCCTTGTTGGCGATGATGGGCTTCCCATTGAGGGTCAGCTCTTCCCCACTGCAGCCCACGTCCAAGGTGGTTCCTTCCAGAGTCTCCATCGTCAGGCCAGCAATGATGGCCTCAGCACACATGGCTGACTTCAGGATGTGGTGGTTCAGCCGGGCTATAAGAGAAGCAAGTGTCTTAGTGAGCTGGAAAAAATCAACTATAAAATTATTGCAGCTTTTAGGGGTCCAGTTCAACTGCAAGGGCCTCTCCTGTACAGCACTACATGGGGCTCTACTCCAAAAGATGTGCAGTCATTTTAAATTGTGCTGATTTTAATTCAGCAGCCTGTGAAATGAAGTGCCTAAAAAGAGTAATTTTTATACACCTTTGTAAACTTTAGAAAGGTTCTGTGTGGTTATTTGACTCACTTGTCAGGGGCAGACGCATTGATTGGATACTAGTTTTCTGGCATCTGGACTGGGACTCACGATCCCATAAAGGAGTGCTAAAGGAAATCTCAGAAAAGGGACCGCTTCAGCCCCCTCCTCCACACCCGGCTAACACCTTCTCTGCCACACCTACACGGCTACCATGTCTACATCCAAAGAATGGGCTGTCCAGTGTAAAAAGCTGGAGTTTGTCAAATGTGTTCACTGCAGCTGTTGTCAGAGAGTATCAAGAAGCCATTCAGATGTCCTTGAGAAGGAATTTAGAAGAACTGCAAAATATTCTTCAGTCTCTCAATGGGCTCAGTAAACAAGCACTTACCCCTCAGGGCTTCTGGGTCCCCCAGGATCCTGTTCAGTGTTTCTCGTGGGATCTTCTCAAAGGCTTCGTTGGTTGGAGCCAAGAGAGTATACTGGCCTTCGCTCTCCAGCAAGCTGTTGAGGTCAGAAGCAGCCACAGCAGCCTTCGGAGAAATGAGAAGAGAGGGTAAAAGACATTCAGCCAGAATACAAAGGTCAGCATCTTCGTCCAGGCACACACTAAGGGCCAGATTTATTAAGGCTTTTATAATTTCGGAGGACTTACAAAAAATCCTGAATAGCTTCTTTCAGCACTTTGGTCCTTTTATAAATTTGACCCAGCCCCGCCGTTCTCTTGTGCTCCAGAAATTTGAATACAAGAGCCCTTTTTTGGCAAGACTGAGTGCTCGTTTGAATACCCCGATATGCCTGGAAAGGCTCACAGTAGTTCCAGTGAATAATTCAGATCTGAACCCGCAGCTGGCTAACTGCAAAACTCCTGGGCTTTTGAAGTTATTCCTTAACTTGGCAAATACCAAGGCAAATAAAAGAGCACTCATCAAATCTGAACAGTTAATATTTCCTAAGGCTGAGATTCCCATAGGAGAGTGAGGAGATAGACTCAGTCTACATCTCTTCACCGACAGCAGTAACAGGGTGACAATTATTCTTACAAAATCCTGCTTGCGCTGATATCAGACACTTCTTTC